TTTTGTGCAAAGTTTCATAATTTACAAAATTCATTTGATCACTAAACTATTTAGAAAAACAATAGCTAAATTGGAAAATAGAAAAAAGATAAAGAAATAGAAAAGAAAAGGAGAAATCCCCCCTGTTCAATTAAGCCCAGTACTAACACTGTACAAGGCCCAGCCCAGCTAGCCGGCCTTTTCCCCTACCTCTCGCAGGGGAGAGGCAGAGCCGTGCGTGCCGGCCATCCATGGCGCCAGGGCCACGTGCCGGCCATCCGCACCCTCCCTCGGCCTACTAAGGCGTCCCCCAGAAACCCTAGCTCGCCCTCGTTCATTCCCCCCTCGATCCCCATCGCCCCCTCTCCTCTGGCTCGATTTTGAGCTCGCAGGCTCCTGCGGTCACCGCTGCCTCGCCGTCGTTGACGCGTCCACCGGCCTCTCCGGCATCCGGGAGCACATCCTGGAGGTTCGCCGCGCTCTACCGCGTCCGTTCAGGGCATTGGAACGAGGCGGGGAGCTGCATAGCCGACGCGGTCTTCGTCTTCTTCATCCGGCCGTCGCCGTCTCGCCATCACCACCGCATCTCCGTTCCACCCCAACCCTCCCCGGGCGTGCCAATGGATTCATGGTGAGCTTCTCCTCCGGATCCCCCTTTACTTCGCCTCGATTCATCGTTGTTTGCCATCCCTGAGACCATCTGAGCTCGCGCGTACGCGTACATATGTGCGTGTGTGCCGCCTGACGCCGCACGCGCTCCCGCTGCATCCTGAGCCGCCCCGTGCGTACCTCGTCCACGCGGCACGCGCGCTCGCGCCCCTGGTCGTGCCTTGGCCGCGCCTCACGCCGGCGTCGCCCAAGCTTTGGCCGGCCGCTGCGCCTTTGCTTGCGTCGCCGCGGCCGCGCGCTGCTCTGCCTACTGCTGCATGCGGCGCTGCCACTGCCGCTGCTTCGTGCCGCTACTGCTGCTGCTTCGTGCTGTTGCTCCTACTGCTCAAGCCGCCGCTGCATAGTGCCATCACTTGGTGCTGCCACCGTTGCGCTGTTGTTGCTTGCTGACCATTGACGACCCCTCTCTCTTGCCAGAGCAACCAGGCAAGCCCCCCCCCTTAATCACCAGATATCGCCTATTCTACTCTCTACTGCTTGCATTAGAGTAGTGTAACATGTTACTGCTTTCCGTTAATCCTATCATGTTGCATAGCATGTCCTTGCTACTACTGTTGTTACCTTTACCTGCTATCCTACTGCTTAGTATAGGATGCTAGTGTTCCATCAGTGGCCCTACTCTCTTGTCCGTCTGCCATGCTATACTACTGGGCCGTGATCACTTTGGGAGGTGATCACGGGCATATAGTATATACTTTACACTGTTACATTACCGGTGATACTGTTTGGAGATGGGGGCTGAAGGGGCAGGTGGCTCCATCCAGGTAGTGGTGGGCCTGAATTCCCGACGGCCCCCGACTGTTACTTTGAGGCGGAGCAACAGGGCAGGTTGAGACCACCCAGGAGAGAGGTGGGCCTGGCCCTGGTCGGCGTTCATGGTTACTTCAAAATAACACGCTTAACGAGATCTGGGTATTTGATCTGAGTCTGGCTACTGGCCTATACGCACTAACCATCTACGCGGGGACAGTTATGGGCACTCGACGTCGTGGTATCAGCCGAAGCCTTCGTGATGTCAGCGACTGAGCGACGCGCGCCGGGTTGGACCGCGTAACGCAACTTCCTTTGTAATGGAGGTTGCTAGGTCTGCTCTCCGGCCGCGTACGCAACATGCAGGTATGCAATGGGCGATGGGCCCAGACCCCTGCGCCATAGGATTTAGACCGGCGTGCTGACCTCTCTGTTGTGCCTAGGTAGGGCTGCGACGTGTTGATCTTCCGAGGCCGGGCATGACCCAGAAAAGTGTGTCCGGACAAAGCGGATCGAGCGTGTTGGGAAATGTGGTGCACCTCTGCAGGGAAGTTTATCTATTCAAATAGCCGTGTCCCTCGGTAAAAGGACGACCCAGAGTTGTACCTTGACCTTATGACAACTAGAACCGGATACTTAATAAAACACACTCTTTCAAGTGCCAGATACAACCGGTTAGGATTATGCTACACGATGCTACTTGGTGAACTTACCTTCTACTCTCCTCTCCTGCTGCAAGATGGAGGTTACCAGAAGCGTAGTCTTCGACAGGACTAATTATCCCCCGCTTATTCCGGCATTCTGCAGTTCAGTCCAGATATGATACCCATATTCCAATTGATACCAATGCATACATATGTAGTGTAGCTCCTTGCTTGCGAGTACTTTGGATGAGTACTCACGGTTGCTTTGCTCCCTCTTTTCCCCTTTCTATACCCGAATGTTGCGACCAGACGTTGGAGCCCAGGAGCCAGACGCCACGGTCGATGACAACTACTACTACTCGGGAGGTGCCTACTACTACGTGCAGCCGGCTGACGACGACCAGGAGTAGTTTAGGAGGATCCCAGGCAGGAGGCCTGTGCCTCTTTCGATCTGTATCCCAGTTTGTGCTAGCCTTCTTAAGGCAAACTTGTTTAACTTATGTCTGTACTCAGATATTGTTGCTTCCGCTGACTCGTCTATGATCGAGCTCTTCTATTCGAGCCCTCGAGGCCTCTGGCTTGTAATATGATGCTTGTATGACTTATTTTATTTGTAGAGTTGTGTTGTGATATCTTCCCGTGAGTCCCTGATCTTGATCGTACACGTTTGCGTGTATGATTAGTGTACAGACAAATCGGGGGCATCACATCTGGATCTATTCCACTCTCGCCGATAACCTCGTCGACCATGTCGTCAGGGCCACCACCACCTATGATCTCTGGGATCGCATCCGCGACTACTTCTTGGTGAACCGCGCGGCGCAGTACATGATGCTCAACCGCCAATACCGCAATCTCAAACAGGGAGATCTCTCCGTCGCCGAGTACGCTCGTCGCATGAAGCTCCTCACCGCTGGGCTGGCCGACATCGAGCACGCCGTCACTGAAGTGGATCTCACCACTCAGTTTCTTCACGGCATCGACAAACGCCTCGACACCATCCGCGTCGTGCTCGGGGACACGGTTCCTCTGCCACCGTTCGAGACGGTCTTCTCTCGCCTGAAGCTCGTCGAGGAGAACCTCGCCCAGCGCATGGCCGATGAGCCGGCCACCATCCTCGCTGTCACCGGGGGCGGCGGTCCCTCCGGCTCTAGCGGCTCGGCTCCTCGCTCTGGCGACCGCGCTGATCGTGCCACTGATCAGGGTCCTGGCTCTCTGGCTGGCCGCAGCTCTGGCGCTCGCGATGGTGGTGACCGCGGTGGCCGTGGTCATGGCCGCGGCGATCCGGGTGGTCATGGAGCTCCCCCACCCACGGCGTACAATCCCTATATGGGGTTCTTCGCGCCCTACGGGATGGCCATCCCAAACCCGCG